GTCGGAGCCGGACCCCAACCTGCTAAATCACCCGGCGGAACGAGGCGGGGGCAGAAAAGTGACTATTGAAATGCCTGCTTTGGCTTTTTGCCCTGCTTTTCTGCTCGGGGGTGGGAGGGGATATTGGTAAAACGTGCTTGGGCTGAGGATGGAGCGAGTCTCCTCGGGTTCCCACCTGGCCTGGGTTGCAAAGCGCAGCGTGTGTCCCCCGGCCCGGCAAAGCTCCTTCCCCACCGGGCCCAGCGTGACGGGGACCCTCCTGGTGCGGCCGCGACCCCCTGGGCCTCGTTTCCCGGCTGGCTCACGGCCTTCAGACACGTAGCGGAAAAATTCGCCTCACCTGCCTTCACCCAATTGCCTTCCCACCAAAATAAATCTCCGGGTAAATATATTCAGCACGAATTACAGCAAGAATAGCCTCCTCTGGTACGGCGGCGATGTTGTGAGAATATCCTCCTTCCAGGCGGTTTGATGTGAGCAGCAGGTGGGAAGAGCTCCGAGAACAGGAGGAAAAGGCTGTTCAGACAAAGGGCAGGGAAGCTCTCTGCAGGCTCCTCGCAGAGATAAAATGCAGGCAGGGATGAGTCAGGCTGGCAACGCTGTGCAAACAGCCTAAAAATAAAACCGGTTTATTGCAGATTAATGACACCATAAAATGTATTTCACTGGCCATTTAGCAGGTGTTGATCGTAAATATTTGGGATTAAAAGTAAACTTTTCTGCTGTGCCACTGTATTGTCATTCCTGCCTCACCCACCTTCCCCGAGCGCCTGCTGGAAGCAATGAATCAGCCCCGGGGCTGGTTTAATCATACTTGAGAACGTAATGGTGACAAAGTACCTGCTTTCTGGGTATCTCCCTGCAGCACAGGACTTTTAAGCGCTCTCCCTCTCGCAGGCAGCAGCGAGCAGCGGCGCCCGGACCTGCCGCTCACATCGAGGGCTCTATCACTGCTATTGCAATTACACCAAAGGAGCCCAGAGACGGGGTGATGGGCAAACAGGCGCGGTGCGAGGCACACACCACTGGCTGTACCGCCCTACGTCACGGGGCCAGTGCCTGACAGCGTCTCCCAGGAAAAGGATGGCCTTCACCTGCTCCCCCGCTCCCGAGGGCTATAGCTCGGCCCTCGCCCACGCAAGTGCGGAGTCAATCCCTATGGAAACAGAGGGCGACGGCACGCCGACGCCTCCGAGCGCACCACCGCGCTCCGGCCTCCCCAGGAGCCCATCGCCCCCGGGAGCGAGGCAGCCCGTTCGGCTCTGGGGGTCAGGTCAAGATACCTCGGCTTGATTCAGAAGCTCTTAGCGACAGAGCTCCAAGCAATTGGGATTTTTCCAACCCCCCCGGCTCTTTCTGGGAATGAAGAAAAGATAATTCCCTTAGCTGTTTAACGTGCCTCGCACGCGGAGGTCAGTGCTAAAGGGACACCGGTGCGCTCGCTAGACCAGGAGCCGCTCCTCTGGAGCCGGGACCCGACGTGGGCACAGCATCTGCAAGAGATGACAAGTCAGCGAGCAGCAGGCGAGTGCCCTTCCTCCCCGCGAGGATGGCTGCGGCCCCAAACGCCCCAGGGAGGCTTCCCCTTAGTCCCTTCACATATCACAGGATCAGGCCAAGTCCGAGGGAAGAGGTGAATGTTTTACGTGGCCAAGAGAAACAGCAACATCGTTAAATAACCCCCATGGAGTCGCCGCGATCCACGCGTTTTCATTCTGCTTGGAAATCAAACTCCCTGATGGATCATTAATTAAGTTTTCCAGCAGGGTAAAAATGCTTCCTTTGCTTGGGATTTCATTCTACTCACAGAGATTAAAAACGCAGCTAATTAGAACAAGACTGGTGTGCAAGGGGGGAAAGAAACAAAGGTCTCGTTATGGCTGGGAGGGGACAGAGTCCTTCCACAAGCAGGTACAGATGACTCATAGCTGCTGAATAACCCTGCTGCCTTCTCCCTGTCACAGGGAAGGCCTCCCAGCGCTGACATTAACTCCTCCAGCAGCTCTGTATCACTTGCCAGGCAAGAAAAAAAAAAAGTCCTTAAATTGGCTCTTAGCTAGCTCTGAGGTAGCTGGTAGCCAAGTAAAGTGTTAATTAAACAGCCTTGCTAGCTGCATCAGACAGCTGGTCGAGAACTGTTTTATTTCTCCCCCTGGTAATTTTCAGTTCAAATGAATTATTTTCTCTGAAGCATTTCTGAGGGGCAGGGGAGAAAGGATAGAATTTCAGCCATTCCCTCCCATCCCTCCTGCTTTTCTCCCAGCCTTCTCTTGGCCAAACTTGTTTGCTGAATGTAAAAAAAAAAAAAGCCCAAACTCAAAACCTGAAAAATTGAGTTGAAATAGATATTGACAGAGAATACATCTATTGGAACATGGAAGGTATTTTTCAGCATGAAGTGTTTACTTTCAGTCCAATATAATCCACACCACCCCTTTCAGCAGAAGAGGAGGTGTCTTGGGGTGTCCCTTTGCCGTAAGGAAAGACACCTGCAATGAATAGTCCACTGTGTGGCACTGCGGAGAGCCAAAGCAGCAAAGCCACCTCCACCAGGTCTGCCAAGAAGGGAGATGAACCGGAGTTAGCGGGTGAGGACAAGGGCTGAGGTGGTGTCCCAGCTGCGCTCGTACCCATCTCTGCTCAGCCCACGCGTGAAGGGTCTCCGACTCGTCGCAACCACAGCACGGGAAACCCAAACAGGCGCCGAGCCGGGGCCTCCTTCATTCCTCCCAAAGGGTCTGGCGGCAACCAAATGCCCCCCGGCTTGCTCTCAGTGAGGGGGAGCATCGTCTAGGATGCAGAAAGGGGGCGAAGGGAGGAACCGCAGCAGATGGGGGCCGAGACGC